AACTCCGAAACAAAATTGGAGATATAAAAAGGCTTTTTTGTAAAATAAATATTTCTTGATTTTCGTTTTATAATTAAAAATTACATGTATTTCAAAAATAGTTGTACTTATGGGACACTCTGTATATTAAGCTGAGTGGTCGAAGAGCTCGCGGTTGACCGTGGGAGAAGTCAGCAGTTTTTTATGGATAAAAAACTGGACCCAGCTGTGCTTAATCACTGGGCTTTAAATAAATGATCTGAAACAAAAATCATGTCACTCAACAGCAGATAGGCAGTAACAATGCTACACAAAAATCATGTCACTCAACAGCAGATAGGCAGTAACAATGCTACACAAAAATCATGTCACTCAACAGCAGATAGGCAGTAACAATGCTACACAAAAATCATGTCACTCAATTCTACAATCACCCTGAATTCATATTTAGCTTATTATTCAAATGATGTGACCGTCTTAGTGGTCTCAATTTTATTTATATATTTATTTAACGGAAACATCACCATTTAAAAATAAATTACACTCAAGAAAATTACTAGAAAGATTAACCTTGCAAAAAAGAAAATCTCTTAAAACCACATGGACTACTACCGTACGCTTATAAGACTGAATGGGAGAGGATTAGTTTTATTACTCGTTTAAAAGGGCAAATCCCTAAATATTATCAGATAATTATTCAGTGATTTAAAACGTGGCATTCGTTAATTCCAAATAAAATAAACGTCATCAGCAATCTGACACATACTTTCTCCCATTAGCTTATCATCAACCCTTATCAATGGTAAGCGGTGGAAGTAACTTTATGAATATTTGATGAACAAATCATAAAAGTTGCAATTCATTTTGAACCGTAATTTTCGCAGCAATGTGAGTTAAAAGGACTATTTAATCAAAATTGTTCTTTCGGTTTGTTTGAAAATCTGACAATCAATGGTATGGATTTACAGTATTGGGATTTATTGAAAAAACACCATTAAAAATCAACATTTCTCAAAAACAAAAAAAAACTGGACCATGTATTACCTTCATACAAAAAATATAAATTATAAGAAAATTAGTAGTATGTACCGGTGTTATTTAGTTACTATATATTATAAAACCTTTTTACAAGGTTCCGTAGAAATTATGAGTAAATAATTTATTCTTGATATTTAAGTAGGTACAGTACTATTGACTTTTTGATACTGAAGCAGACATCATATCTATATGGACAATTATGTAGATATTTAAATAGAACATATAGGCATCTCATTTGAAAGTCTGGTACTTACTATCAAAATCATATTTTCTCCCCTAGTTTTTGTTGCTATGCTCTAGGCTACCATAAAAATGCTATTAAATTTACAATAAGTGTCATCTCTGAATTAGTTTTTAAAGTTTGTGTATTCATAAATCTAAGTAAATATGGTTATAAGTAATTTTCATTTATAGTGGTTAAATTTAACTGAATGTTATTCTAAAACTTGCCAAAGCTACGGGACTTGTATCGACTTCGATAATTATTACCTATTCTAAAACTATAGCAACATGGGAAAGTCTACTTCCAAATGCCAAAGGTGATACTTCTTGTAAATATATGAAATTCTTTCAAAATATAGAAAATGTTAACGGATTTTCTAAGCTTTATAAAATCACAAGTAAACATTTTATCTCGAGGGAAAATCTTAAAATCAGTATCATACCAAAAAGCCAAGTCTAAAAATGTGCTAAGTGCTCACATCTGCGCAGGGACGACGGGGAATTTTCGCGCTGCGCTCGGCAAGCCTGGCTCGAAAGTAGGTCAGGTCATTGGCCTACTAGCACCAGCAGAAAGGTAGCAGTGCTCGACGCTCGTACGCGAACGCGCGCGACGCGCACAACCACACGCTCGAGCTTTTCGCGATCGACGTAGGAAGTCAATAAACATTGTCCCTTTTATTTTTTCGTGTTTTAGTATAGAAGTAAATGTTAGCCTTCGCTTAGAACTAGAAAAAAATATTTTGTTCAAATTCTATCCAGATTTAAATCTAATAAACTTTCATTTTCTGGATAATTGGTCGCAATCGGTTTTACCTTAAAGTAGAATTTATATGTAATAAATTTTAAATAGTCTTACGAGTAATAAAGTTTTTAGAGTCAAAAGAATACTAAACTGAATTAAAATGGCTTAAAAAGTCATAAAGGTGATTTAACAATTAAACTGTAATAATACGTGATGTATATTGATTTTAGTATAAAGTGCCTTATTATATAACTTTTACCATAGCTATTACCTTTATTACATGGGTGTATTAATAGGTCTATCCCAGTTACAGCACTTAGAAAACCTCTTTATGTGTTTACATTATGATTAAAGGACTCCTCATTAGGGAGTTTTGATTTAATTTATTTTGCACCTGTTCTAATCGCGGGGAATTTAGCGCTCTTATCATTTTGGAAAGGGGAGGGGAGGGGGGTATAGAGACAATCTTTGTTGGGGGAACCACCGATTTACCGTAAGAGTAGTCTTTTTCAAACAATGCAAATAGAAACTGATGGCCTCCAGAAATTGTTGTATGGGACCAATCAGTTTACATTAAATTCTATGAGAATCCACAGTTTATTGAATCTATATTCAATGAGGTTAAAATAATAAAAATAGTTTAATATACAATATCAGTATAAATAAACCGAGTAACAACAAAATAGTCGTCTACGTTCAATTAATTTTTTTTTCTATTTGATACATTTATGAGTTTTGCCTGTTAATAAATAGTTAGCCAATCAAGTTATAACTGTATCCTCAATGTTGACTTAAAATTTATACACCATAATATTCATATAGTTCGGCTGGATTGAACGAAGAAAAATTAAATTAATCTGTAATTAATAAAAGAGTGAATAAACCCCCGCCGCAGCAAACCTGCAGACTAAGTGAATTTTCAGTTGCCTGATTGGATTTACTCTATCTCCTTATTCTCTATTTAAATACCATTGGTTTAACGAGTACTTAGGTTTGCTGCAACAGGGAGGGTAAAAAGGGTTTTTATGTGAAATGTTAAAAGTTTAGTATGGAATAAACACATTTTCAAACATTGATCAAAATATGTTCTTAAACAAGCAAATTATAACAGTTTACTTATTCTCCATAAGAATAACATGGGCATTTTTAATTTACAATTTGTTGGAATTTTCTCCGTAACCATTAGGCGCATAATAACGCTTCAATATACAATTTTTTATGCTCTACAAAATAGTGTGAAAATAAATTGCAAAATATTATGTTTTTAGGGACAAAAATGGGTAAAACCAATTTTTACCCCATAAAAACCCCCATAAACCACCGTTCCCATAGTCCGATCATGCTGGTTCGCGAACTCGTTCGAATAAACGTAGCTTTAACACGTTTATACAAAATGTCATCAAAATCTGATAATTTTTTCTCGAGTTATCGTGTTAATGGACACACACACACATATATATATATGAATTTGAACGGTGTTTTTTTCCTCTAGGGACCTCAAAACGAAAAATTAAATCGGTCCCGGGCCCAGGTCTTACAATCAGAACTACAGTAATTGCTATTCCCTATATGGGAAATTCGCTAAAATGAAATTCATTATAACACTCTCGTAGACGACCCTAGAAAAATCCTCCAATTTTGAGTGCATTTTTAACAGCATGTAAAACTGTTTTACATTTTTTCTACTGAAATTCAGTAAAAGTTATGTACCATATTTTTACCAACAACGCTGGTTTAATATAATAAATAATTCATTAAGGTTAGGTTTTCGTTCTATGCCCTCTGGTTACCGAGATAAGTTCTAAACTTAGAACGTCGTCTCCCATGTTATCTTTATTGAGAATAAATTCACTCCAGTAGATTGCTTGTTTAAAAGATGTACATCTTAAAAATTGCGAAATTCTTTATTTTATTAAAGATTGTAAAAATCATTCAATAAAATAATCATTCACATTTTTTATGATTCGCTTAGCAGCAAACCCAAGTAACCGAAGGACCAACTTTATTTTGAAAATTTGGTGTCCCGGTGGTGAATAATTCTAAAATTTAATTAACTGTAAACTTGTGAATTTTCATTTAAACTTAGCTAGAAATATTGTTTTCAGTTTGCTGTGATGGGGGGTATTATTTCTATGTTCATCCCATGATAAAATTAACAATGTAGGAAACAGAACGTCAAAGATTTTTAATGATCACAATTCACAATTAGCAATGGACATATTATGTTATTTAAGATTTAAATACATTTACTGTGTTTTATTTATACGTTAATTTATTACGTGATAAAATAAAATATTATTATGAGAATATTTCATATCCCCCACCATAAAATTTATCTTCCAAATGCGGATATTCAAGGGTAAATATATATTGGTTGCGTTAACTCATAACTTTAACCGCTCTTTACAAATTGTTATTCAAAACCTATCCTCGTAAGCTTCTCAAAGGTACCGGTAAAACTTATTTTTGTTGCTCACTTTGAACACATTGTTTTTCGTACTCATTTTGCTACCACCCTTTTTAAATCTCCAAAACTAAAAACCTCTATGGAGTTTGTGTCGCCATTGATGAAAGGTGTTATTACATTGATTTCCTAGAATTCGTATGAATCACACGTCTTTTAAATGAGGAAATATAAGAGGGCAAGAACCGACGTCAGTTCGTTCACCCGCCCCGCCTCTCAGCTGTTCCCTTACACTGTGTCACGTCGATGTCCCACACTACCACACTGACACTACATACCACTGTCTACGCACTTTACGCGTATTATTATAAAACTTACGCTGTGTGTGTACGCATCTGTGTGCGTGTGTGGAGGTGCAGTAGATGGTGCAATGAAAGTCTAGCGGTCGGGTGCCTCATAACCTCACACATTACATAACTGCGTTCGGACGTTTTCGTCGACGGTCGGGCAAGCTCGGTCGCGCCGGTCGTTGACCCCGTCCCTGGCTACAAAAAACACACCAGTTTCGCGCTAAGTTTTGCCGTTAGTGGTCATTATTCCAGTGATATTGTGATCGGTAGTGTCCAGTGCTGTGACGGGATCGGTTTACCGTACGAGTGTGTTCGTGCTGGACAAAGTGTCCGCTGCCCCGACAATACTGATCAAAACACGCCCCCTGATTATCAAGAAAGATAGCGTTTCGCTCCCTATATTTACTTAAAATTGAGTAAACTTTATGACTGGAGTGGAATTTAACTTTATTCCTGTAATTAAACGTTAAATTTAAAGGGGGTTATTGATTTGCCTTTTTCAATCAATGTCAACCGGAGGGTTTACTTTATCGTTTGAGTAAAGCCCACTTTTTCCTCTTGTTCTTTTTGCAGGTTCGGTCGCTCGGAGGTCCCCACAGGCTCGGAGAATAGTCATGACTATCGCCAGTAGTAGGTGAATCGGTAACTAGCAGGTAAACAAGGTGTCAAACAGTAATATCGTTTACTGCCGAGCTAGGGTAGTGACAATCACTCTTGTATTGTTGTACACCTACTGTCGTAGTCAAAGGGGAATGAACTAGGGCTCAGTGTTGAATTTCGTAGATAATTCAAGTCGTGGTCGCTCTAGGTTATTGCCTTATTCCCTTATCTTATCTCTTATCTTATCTCTCGCACTTGGAAAACCTCTCTAGGTGTTTACATATTATTAAAGGACTCCTCATTAAGGAGTTTTGATTTAATTCATTTCGCACCTGTTCTAATCGCGTGGAGTTTAACACTCTTATCGTTTTTGAAGGGGGGGGGGTAGAAAACCCTTTGTCGGGGGAACCGATTTACAGTAAGAGTAGTAGGCTACTGTATTTTCCAAAACAATGCAAAATAGAAACTGATGAAATCGGACCAATCAGTTTACATTTTGACGCGTTGTGAACGTTGACATACCCATTATTGTCGGCGGCAGCGGCGCGACCCCGTCTAGTGATAGTGGGCGTGCGACTACGAGGAGCGACGACCTGTCCTCCCATGGAGTTCGGGTGACTGACGTACGGAGTGACCCGCGGGAGTTATGCCCCCATGGACGAGTTGGAGGAACTTTTGGGGGGCGAATCCGGGAGTTGGGGGGCAGTTAGGGGCGAAGATGTGACAAGCACGACTCCCCCGCCTGCTCCAAACTCCCCGGGACATCAGCACGCCAACAACAGCATTAGAGGTATACAATTGTATCCCAAAACAAATCTTTGCTGTGGAAAATGACCTCCTTCCTACCAAATAGCCTTTTATCATATGCCTATGTCTACTGGGTCAAGTGAAGGTAGATTTTCTTTTATAGGGAATACGCTTCTTTAGCTTACGACATTTACTCAACGGCTAAGTAAGCCGTTGATAATTTCACTGACTGGTCAGCCTGAAATCAAATACAGTTTAACCCCAGTCTGGAAGAATGCTAATCCAATATTTCAAAATGATGTAGGGAAGGGAAGTACTTAGGCCTTTATGCAAACGAAGACCTTGGTTGAAACTAAATAGTTTGATGTGTCTATGTAAATAAAGCCATAGGGATGATAGGACTATACTAAAATAAAAATGTTTGCGTTGTCTTACAGTATTTGAAAGGGAATGCCCTAGCGAATATTAATCAATACTTCATTCTTATTACGATAGTATTAAACATTGCTGAAGGTAATTTCTATTCATGACTGCTTTTAATGTTTGTTTACATAGCCTAGATAAAGCCTTGAAGGTACGAAGCCCTATGCGCTATTAGCCTACTAGTATTCATTCGTTGAATGTAATACTTATGGATTAATTTGGTAATTTATCTCAGTTACAAAAATGTGTCACGATTTCAACAGTTTTCAGTAGGCCTACAGTTTTTTTAAACAAGTTTTCCAAACAGCTTCAAGAAAGAGAATCGACGATAAGACCAATTTAAGAGAACAGCTGAGAATTAGCTAAAATACATTAGGACTACAACAGAATTTATAAAAGATTTGTAACTTTTTTTATTTTTGGCCACTTTGTAAAACCCGTAACTTATACACCACAAGTTTGAATTCCTATATAGATGTTTATATACATATAAATATCATCTTTGAATACGTTATAATGTATTGTTTACATCATCTTTTTATAGCAATTATAACATCGGCGTTCAAACAACTCATTATAATACATTGTTTGAATGAAATGAATATTTTAGAGTAGGTCTACTACTTAGTGAAAATGCAACGTTTATTAATTACATTCTATAAAACCCTTTGCGCTGCGTAACTTTAACTTCCTGTTGCTCTCTTTTTATTATGTTACTGTACCTGTTCTTACTGATATTACCTCCTCACTATTTTCTATATAGGCCTACTTACCCATGGTATTCTTCTTTGTACTTATTTATAGTATCCTACGGTAAGTATTGATTGTATAACGCAAACAGATGCAATAAAACTCCATAACCTTATCAACGTTAACAAAAGCCGCTTGTCAATTCAACTCTTTTATTGAATAACTTGTACCTATAAATAATAATTTAATCAATATTAAAAGTATATCAAACATTAACCCTAAACAAAAATGAACCTGATTCTTAAAAATTAAAAATTAAATGGATCTTTGAACCGGACGTTAATTTAAATCCTTGTACTTATGAAATAAGATTTAACTGTACACCATTCTGTTAGAATTAGCAACAAATTAGAATTACAAATACAGTAAGAAGTAGTCATCGAGGGTGCATATGTGTACATTATAGGCTACAAGTCTATAATAGTTTCACTTAGAAAAAAAGGTCGCGAAATCGAAGAATATTCACTTATCATCTTTTATTTGCTCTAACTTTAAATACAACGTGTTTACAAACTACTGTAATTGACTTTAATCTCATTTATCAAAATCCCATCTATTGTTTTAAAATGCACGTGTTCAACATATTGTAAATACACAATCGTTAAACAGCTGTTTTGATGCATCAATTGTTGTGACAATAATTATTATATTACGCTTGTCCATAATCATTGCTTAAGATATCGTGTTGTTTTTTACTTTTAAATTTCAGAAACCATATCAACAATATTTTATTATTTACCTGTACAATATTCGTCAAAGACAGATTATAAAAAATAACTGTTTTATTGAATTCACATTTTCGGTATATTGTAAATAATAAATAAACAAAGTATGTTTTAGTTTAGGCTATGTTAAAATTAATCCCCCCTAAAAACAATCTGGGTTTAATATAAATTCAAAAATTACTGAAAACTATGTTTGGAGCAATAATCTAATGTTTAACAAGTTTGGAGCCATAATCTAATGTTTGTTGTTAAGTTTGGAGCCATAATCTAATGTTTGTTGTTAAGTTTGGAGCCATAATCTAATGTTTGTTGTTAAGTTTGGAGCCACAATCTTATGTCAGTTGGCGAGTCAAGGCCTCTCCTGGACTTCTGGTACCAGTTATGGATTCATTTAACTTCCTTATCAAAAATCTTCCTTAAATCAAATGTCTACGTTTACTAATGAAATAAAAAAAACTAAATATATGACAGGTGCCCTATAAGAACACACATAAATATGCGCACAAATTTTAACGAATAGATTTTGACCTCTGAGGACATTAAAATGAACAAAAGTTAATCGATTCCGGGTCTATATACTACCGTGCCACCTACGGTAATAGCATATTCTCTCGAGGTAAAGTTCGCAAAAACAAATTATTTTCAAAGTTTGTCTGTATTATCATATATTTTCTGTCAATCAATAGTATTACAAACTACACAGTTGTTTTTACTTCGCAAGTTTGCGATTGAAATTCATGCTTTACTATTTTTCATATCTTAGAGAATGTATCGGGTAATAAGCCCTAGTATAACAATTTACAATTCAATAACGATAGTCTCGTCGTATAGTGTAATATATTACAGGCTAATAAATTATAATAGTATTGATTTAAACAACTTGTATCTGATTTTAAAATACTAAATAGTAATTGGCAGACTTTTACATCATGTAGTTTTCTCGAATATGCGTAGGACAAATATTAGAAAGGGTCCAATTTTAAGTATTAAATAACGTTAACACAGAGGAAAAAAATCTATACCGAACATATTATAAGTAACCGGTAATTACAAACCTATGGGAACGTGTTTGTGACAGTGTTTTATTTAAAGAAACATCGGCCCTTTAATTTATGATCGATTAACACAGGTTGAACCAAAGCCGGACAAGAGCTCCGATAATGTAAATAATATACTCGACCTGGGTTTCATTGATGATAATATAATAAAACCCCCCTTGTAAAGTTTTTAATTACAATTTGATTAGTGCAAGTTTTTAAGTCTACTTAATTTTGTGATGGACTTTTTGAAATCTATCAACGATACTAATTATTGAAGTCAAGTTTTTCAAGCAATATTATATTTTTAGGGGGAAGGGGTCACACATACAAACCCCTTCCGATTAAGCATGTAATTATTAATTTTTTTTGAGTTTACCATTGTAGTGGAGACTAATTTTATATTATTTATAGATATCCCAAACTATTTAAATTGACTCTCTTTCATATTAAATACTCGTGAACAAGTTCAATATGTAAACTTATGTCACAAAAAGTTGTTATTGACATTTTGTGCACCTTAATTTTAATCACATTTATTAAAATATGTATTTGTTATCACTTAAGGATAATGATACAAATAGGATTAGACTAACCTAGCAAACCTCTATCCTTTGGTGGTTTTAAATTCAATTAATTTACAGGATGGAAAAAAATTAACAGTAGCTAAAATTATTGGTTTAGAAATTAACAGTGGGCTATTCATTTTTTTATGTACTTAATGTAACCCAATATTTGTGACCAAAAAATCTATAACAATAAATTGAACTTCTGGTAACTAACACTTTCTAGCTCTACATTAATCAAACAAATTGTGGGTAAAAAGAGTATACTTCGATTCTCTTTTATAAATGACTTATTATTTTCATTAACCATAATATATTATAATCTAAATAATTATACAGATATACCTACACAAATAAAGTAAATTATTAACAATATATTTAACATCTGAATTACACATAGTAATTAATTTTTATTAGTCCCATTTAGTGAGTTTAAATAAATAAATAACATCAATAATCAAATAATTTTAATTAATTACGTCCATAGCTATTAAATATTGTAATATATAGTTCTATCAACCACTGTCCCATTATATAGCAAGAAGAAACGTAAAATTTATTTTGTAGGTACATATAATTAGGCAGAAATTGCACCGTTCTTATAGAACAACAACAATACACAGACTTTGTTCAATGGTAGTGTAATATATGCTTTAATTACTATATAATTTGAATGATAAATTAACTAATAAAAATATAAATTATTTAATCTTTCCATCACGATCAAATTGTACATAAACAATATCGGTTGAATGTTGGATATAAATAATCTATGCTTATAATTCATTTTGTACGTCCTAATTTATATATTATAAGAATTATATACATAAATAATATCTTATTGTTATCTCTTTGCATTATAAAAATATACATAAACGTGTGCTATCCATGAGTAGAGGGGGGTATTAGGAGGGGGTGTGGGGCATTGCTCGGTTGTGCTATTTACAACAGTTCAGTGACCGACATCGTCCTTACCCCCCCTCCACCCCCCCTCCCTCCCGTACACTACTATACACGGAAGTCTTCCAATCCACACTGTATACTTGATTAATTTATTGTTCTTTAATGGCCTTCCATTATCGATTTCTATTTTAATCTTGAGTTCGTTCAATTTTCAGATTGTATCTGCCTTTTGTTTTTATGGATTTTATAAAATTTCCTATTGTGAAATGTAAATTTATTTATCGGTTTTATGGATCTCATAAAGTTTCCTATGGTGAAATGTAAATTTATTTTTAATCAATAATTTTTTAATTCTTTATCGATTTCTATTTTAATTTTGAGTTCGTTCAATTTTCAGATTGTATCTACATTTGTTTTTACGGATGTAATTAAGTTTCCTATAGATAAATGAAATCTTTTTATCGTTTTTATGGATCTCATAAAGTTTCTATGGTGAAATGTAAATTTATTTTTTAATAGCTAGGCCTGATTCTTTGATTCATTATCGAATTCTATTTTTATCTTGAGTTCGTTGAATTTTCAGGTTGTATTTGCCTTTTGCTTTTACAGATATAATGAAGTTTCCTATAATAGTAAAAT